ATGTCAACCAAAAGACACAACAGCAAAAGAAGATAAAACCAACATCATCTACAAAATACGTTGCAACAACTCGGAAAAACACTAGAATGGACAAAGTGGACATCCCCTTCGTCTTCGTATCCATGACCATAAACTAGCCGTCAAAAGACATGGTATCTATCTACTCCTTCAGACAATGGACATCAATTCAACTGGGATAACCTTCAAATATAAAGGAGAGGAAATACCAAGAACGTCAGTGAATTTTTGGAAGCCTGATATATTCCTGTGAATCAGAAATTAGCAGGCATATTGATATATATAAGATTTATCAATGCATAAGAGGAAAATCTCATGCACAAAATGTCAAACTTCAGGTCAAGGAAGCAATCAATACCAATACAAGTAAACTAGGTGTGAAAACAGACAAAAGTAACCAACCACGTTCAAGGTCACCAGGAGAGATGACTAATGAACTTGTGGAGAAATCTAAAAGCTCACTTCAAATTAAAGTATCCACTGAAGATGTGCCCGGCCGATAACTGCTACCTTGTCGTGGTGGTCGGGCTTGAATACCGCAATGACCCAACAAGCTGAACTGACTGGGACTCTGTCTCTACAGGTCCTACCATGTCAGGAAGGTTTTCTGGATAGCGGTTAAACTAAAAGCAGTTACCATGGGGTACATGGGCTCCAGTTTCCAATCGGATCAAATGGCGTATGAACCCACATGGGTCACCGGCAACCATGGGAATGCAGCTCCTGACGCTGCTCCGCTGCCTTGCGGATTAGACTCCAAGTCAAAGGCTGGGGGGTGGTCCCTTAATAAAACCACCTGCTTCGGTCTGGGCGCCCGGGCAGTATCTCAGCCCGCACACAATGAATGAATTAAAGCAACGAACTCCCATTGAAACTCAACGCGCGCTAGTAAAAATGATTCCAAGCAATATTGATCCCTCAAGGAACTTATTTCCTTCCTACCCTACTTTTATTTTTATACATAGTTTCCTGTATTGTACCTTTTCTAACCTTGGCTTCTTAACCTTCGACAGCCTTTCGCCTTTGTCGAGATTCCCAGCCTATCCGTGTCGTTTCGAGATGTTAGTGAGTAGTCCTCAAAATGGTTGTTCCCAATGTGACATCTAACACGGATATCCTGAAACCGCGTGCTGCGTTCAAGCTGGCTACCTACAATGTTCGGACGCTGATGCAAATCGGACAACAGGCAGGGTTGGCAAGAACTTTGGAAAGCCTCGCTATCGATGTCTGCTGCATTTCGGAGACCCGCATTCAAGATCCCAGTGAAGTGCTTCGACTATCCTCTCCATCTGGAAGTTCTAGTAGTATGTACCACCTGCGCTTATCCGGGGACCCTGTGGCGTCGGCATCCGGCGTAGCTGGTGTCGGTGTCGCACTGAGCGCTAGAGCCGAAGCTGCACTGCTCGACTGGATTCCCATTAACAGTCGTTTATGTGCTGTGAGGCTGGAAGGTTATACGAAAGTAAAGAGTAGTAGGCCAGATAGGCGGTGTCTATTTGTTGTCTCTGCCTATGCACCGACGGATTGCAGCCCGGATGCAATGAAGGATGAGTTTTACTACCAACTGAGCGATCTCTTGAAACAGGCGGGTCGGAGGGATATCGTAGTGCTGGCTGGGGACTTGAATGCACAGGTGGGGCGTCTAAGCTCAGAGGAGAATCGTCTAGGTGGTCAGTGGGGACTACATGGTCGCAGGTCAGATAATGGGGACCGTCTTCTGCAGCTTTGCGCGGATCACAACCTATTTCTAGCTAGCACCAACTTCCGGCACAGCCATCGCCGTAGCGCTACCTGGCGTCCTCCCTCTGCGAAGCAAGCTTGGACTCAGATTGATCATATCGCGGTCAGTTTCCGGTGGCGAGGATGCATACAAGACTGTCGCTCCTTCTGGAGCACATGCCTGGACTCCGATCATGCGTTAGTGTGTGCCAAGTTCGTCTTGCGATTTGGTGGGGTTCGTAAAAGCCGTCGTCTAAGCGTTGATGTGAGCAAACTAGTAGCACCTGCTACTTCTTTGAAATATCAGAATGAGTTAAAAACAATGCTTGCCAGCAACCCCCCAAGTAGTATAGATGAACATTGGCTTCATGTGCAAGGTGCCATGCAAAAGGCGAGTGTAGCCGCTTGCGGCTTGAAAGAATGCTCCGCTAACAACCACTGGGTTTCTGCGAGTTCCTTGCAACTCATGGATGAACGCCGGTCCATTCCGGCTGGCAGCGAATACAACAATCAGCGAAAGGCGCTCACGCGCAAGATTAGACAGTGTTTACGTAAGGACCGCGAAGCCTGGTGGTCAGAACGTGCGTGTGAGATGGAGTCAGCTGCTGCATCTGGCAACAGTCGGAAGCTGTTCCAACTCATACGAGCCACCGGCAGCAAGAAACAAGGTGTCAGCGAGACGGTCTGTGAGGCAGATGGCACTCCAATTACCAGCCTGAAAAGACGCCTGGAACGCTGGGCAGAGCACTTCGGGAAGCAGTTCAGCTGGCCACCAGCTTCAGTGTCTACTATCATTAGCCCGAGTGCTCCTTGGTCGGTTAGTACCGACCCACCCACCGAAGCGGAGGTCCGTAAGGAACTCCAAGTTCTGAAACGCCATAAGGCGCCCGGCCCAGACAAATTACCCCCGGCTCTTTTTAAAGATGGTGGCGAGACTCTCACAATGGCTCTAACTGGGTTGTTCAGGAAGGTGTGGGAGACAGAGAGTGTACCATCAATGTGGAACGAAGCCATTATCGTCCCCATCTTTAAAAAGGGTCGACGTAATTCGTGTGACAATCATAGGGGTATCAGTCTGTTACCAGTCGCGTCTAAAATATTGGCTGCTGTCTTGCTTCGCAGACTGTGCAAAATACGTGAAGGATTGATTCGCGAAGAGCAGGCTGGGTTTCGTTCAGGTCGTGGATGCATTGATCATGTGTTCACCCTTCGTCAGTTGTTGGAACACCGCCACACGTATTGCAGGCCAACGATCGTTGTGTTTCTTGATATTAGGGCTGCCTTCGATTCGTTGGACAGAACTGTGCTCTGGAACTGTCTGTTAGAGAGAGGTGTACCTGAGAAATTTGTTAACATCCTGAAAGCCCTATACAGAAACACCTCAGGTAGAGTGAGGGCATACAACCAACTATCACCACTGTTCCCAACCAACAGTGGGGTTAGACAGGGTTGCCCAATCTCTCCATTTCTCTTTAACTTTGCCATCGATGACATTCTGGAGTCAGCTCTGAAGGATGTGCGTGAAGGTGGTGTAGATCTGCTACCTGGAGATAGACTTTTCGACCTCGAGTATGCAGACGATATCGTCTTACTGTGCGATAGCATGCAGGCTGCCCAAATCGCACTTAATCAGTTGGCGATCAGTGTCTGTAAGTATGGTATGTGCTTTGCGCCGTCTAAGTGCAAAGTACTGTTACAAGATTGGCAGGAGCCTGTACCTGCACTCACTCTTGCGGGTGAACCGCTTGAAGTTGTTGATAAGTTTGTGTACCTGGGTAGTTGTGTGAGTGCTGGCGGAGGGGTGACGGATGAGATTTCCAACCGTATAATGAAGGCTAGGGTGGCATACATCAACTTGAGCCACCTCTGGCGCCGTCGCGACGTTAGCCTGGCTGTCAAAGGTCGGGTATACAATGCTTCGGTGCGGGCTGCGCTGCTCTACGCCTGTGAAACCTGGCCTCTCCGAGCTGAGGATGTGCGGCGACTCTGCGTGTTCGATCACCGCTGTCTCCGCAGGATTGCTTGCGTTCGATGGCATCATCGCGTGAGTAATTCTGAGGTTCGGCGGCGTGTGTTTGAACAAAGTGGAGATCACCATTCATTGAATGTCGTCATCTGGAAACACCGGCTCCGGTGGCTTGGACATGTGCTCCGAATGTCACCCCAGAGGCTTCCGTACAGGTCTCTGTTCGCTAGCCCTGGGACGGGATGGAAAAGGCGGAGAGGTGGTCAGTCCATGACATCTCATTGGTATTCAAGCTCACTGGCGACTGGTCCTATTCAGGTAGGTAGTTACCTGGGTTCCAGTGGGAAGTCGTGACCAGTAGGGTGCAGCTGGTCGGGTGTGAGGACAAATACTCGCCGAAGACATTGGCTAGCGGTTGCGCTATGTCATGAATTGGCAGAAGTTAGAATTCGAGGATCATTGTATCGGGTCCCAGTGGCTTAATGGTATACGAGCTGGCTCGCCTTGTAACCAGAAGGTCCTGGGTTCGAACCCTGGCGGTGGGTGCGTACTGCTGAAGAGTCCCAAACTAGGACGAAACAGTTGTCCAGTACTCCCAGGTTTTCCAATGGTTCTCTAACTAATGTCAGCTCATGATGAAATCCTATTTACCTAGTAGTTGGAAGTTAAGTGTCTGGTTCAAAGATCTGCAGGTGATGAAGTCATGCCAAGTATATACGTCACATAATCACATCTTAGCAAACACACATATAATTTAATTGGTGGATGGTGACTAGCAATGGAATCCAGGATGCGCATTTCGTCCTATTTGGGACTCGTCAGCTACTGGATGTACCTGCATTTCCCAGTGAGTGATGATGAACACTTCGGTCCAATCAATCGACGGGAAAATCTAAAATTCAATTAAATTAACATGACCCGTTGCACAAGAGGTGGCTCTCGTGGTCTAGTGGATAACGCTTTGGCGTTTGAAACTATAATCCCTGGGTTCGAGCGTCGGTGGGAACATCATCATTCACTGGGGAATGCAGGTACATCCAGATGACGAGCCCCGAATAGGACGAAATGCGATGTTATCCTGGATTCCACTGCTAGTCACCATCCACCAATTAAATTCTAATTAAATGTCCAGACATCGTAGAAGCATCTGCACAAGAAGCCGACATGTCATCCTGAGACCGAGCACTTCGGTCCAATCAATCGACGGGAAAATCTAAAATTCAATGAAACGCACATGCATGAGGGAAAAAATCACAGAACACGAAGAAGCGGAAAACAAGGCAAAAATAAAACTAACTTGGATCTGAACGCTTTGACAATTCACCACATCGATGGATGATATTAGATGATCAAATACTACACCAGTTTTCTTACAACTATCTATACAAAAGAGGAATAGACGACAGAAAATTGTAGAAAAAAAATGATATTTAGTAGAATGAAAAGGTACCTAAAACGAATATAAACGCATGTGTAAAACTTCAATAAGCAAGCCATATATTCATATGGAGAATATAGTTTTAACAAATATAAAAAAGAAAGTGACTGTGTCACCGTTAAATAGCAAAACTTTTTTACTTAAACTGCCAAAATCGACACACGTGTCTTTATTTGATTTTGATTTTAGAAAAAAGTATTGATAAAGAAAGTTTATTCAATAATATGCGTATAAAACAATATCAGTGAAATGCACAAACTATTTTATACATTTAAGGAATTTTATTTTGCAATATTTAATAAAATCTATTAAAACAGTAGTTACTTATAGTCTGAACAGCTTAATTGTAAGGTGCACTGCCTCACTATGAATTATTAAGAGGGCTTAAAATCTGTGTATATGTCTCAATGATGTTTGTTCACACGTGCGAAACGAAGCGTGGACAATAAAGGTGATCATTCCTAAAAGCAGACTTTATAGACTTTATACAGCACATAACAGATATCATATTTACCCACTGTTTATCTTGTCTTATAGTATACCGTACTCACACAGATTTAATTTATGAAAAGCAGTTGTTCGGATAATTATCAATACTATGTCCACTGTGGGAGAGTAATTTTGACACCAGGCATAGTGATAGGTCTGTCTGTTTTCGACATAGAACTTTGCACAAATGTGCGGAAGTTCAAGTCGCCACATTCCGTGTAGCACGCGAAGCAAGAGAAGAAAGTACAAGAAAAGCATAATAGAAACAGTGAGCAGAGGTGTGAGACAAAGGAGTAATAAAGAAATACAAAACAGTTTCATTGAGATCATAAGTCACAGGGAGTGGATGCATCTGCGCCACTGAGAACGGTTTTGAGCCATGTCACCAATTGTTTCCAATCATAGATTTTTACCGTCCCGAGGACCCCAGCCTGGAAGTCTACACCTTTCTACGTGGCTTAGACCAACTGTTGTGGATTTCATTGACTGATGCCAAGTTTTTGTTTGACCGCCGCTAGCTTTTTTCCAGCCTGACCCTATATCCGCTAACATAGCTCGTCGAGGGAGGCGATGACTTGGCATACGTAACACATGTCCTAACCATCTCAGTCTTTGTAGCTTCACGACTTCGTCGATTGATTTCCCCTGTTTACCTAGAACTCTACGCCTAATCTCCATGTTGCTCACCTTATTATGCCACTTTACACGGGAAATAGAACGCAGGCACCTATGATCAAAGACAGCTAGTCTTTTCATGTCTTCCACTCTCAGTGGCCAGGTCTCACAACCATAAAGGAGGACTGAGCGGACTGATGAGCAGTACACCCGCCCTTTGGTCGATAGTCGAACATCTCGTCTACGCCAGAGACGGCGTAAACTAACAAATGCGAAACGAGCCCCTTGTATTCGTGCTGAGATTTCGTCAGAGATCAACCCGTTGGGGCTGATGGTACTTCCCAAATAAGTGAAGCGGTCAACGTGCTCTACCACTTCACTCCCTATTTTTAAACTAGGCGTCGATGTAGTCCAGTCCTGTAACATCATCTTGCATTTGGCGGGAGCGAATCGCATGCCAAACATTCGTAGATCGCAGCTCAAGGGAAGGTCAATCGATTAGGTTGTGAAGCTACATTGATTGAGACTGCTAGGACACATGTTGAAAATGCCAAGGCATCACCAGCCCCGAGGGCAATGTTAGCCAACGTAGAATTAGGTTGTAAAAGAGTAAGAGGTGGTTACACCAAAACCTGGTATCAGTTTATGTAGCCTTTGACAGAAAGTTTGAGCCACGTAGAGTAGTGTAGGCTATCTCGTTGAGGTCCTTAGGATGCTAGGAGCCAATTAGTAAAGACCTACAATCAATCCAGGGAATACTCTGACAGTTGGTTTGAGACGCGTGGGCGGCAAGTATAAACTGTCTGGCTGAGGTCCTTGGAATATTAGGAACTAGTGGACTGGTACTTTTGGTGATATATCGCGCAGATGCATTCACACTTAGTAATCTTCAAGTCATTAAGTCATCATTTGTTTTGGAATCTTTGAAGACTCATCATTCAATCTTGAAGTATAAGAGGTGAGTAGACATTTTATGCTAAAAGCCTTCATCTTATGAATAAAAGTTAATTTTTAACCTTTCACAATATAAATATAAATGTTTAAGTCAGCCCAGTGAATGAGAATCATGCATGATACGACTAACATAATAGTAATAAAACTAACCCTGAGAAGGACAACAGAATCGATCAAGGTAAAGATTAAATACTTTAGTATAAAATATATGTTCCATTGTGAATAAAATTTACTATTCATCCAGCATAATTTAAAGTTATGATAAAAAAATCTATAATTTTATGCATATGTACAATGCAGAGAATAAATGCTAAATGTGAACAGTACAATGGCTTAATAATGTATACTATTTAGAAATGTATAGTTACAAGTAAAATATGCACACGTACTCTTGCATAGGGGGTACACAATATCGGTTAAGTCACTGAAACTAAATAGTGTGGTAGGAATGTGTACATTGACTGATAAAAGGTTTGCATGACTGTTTAAACTAATGGGTTAAAGAATCCAGAAGACTAACTGAGAGTGAGTCCACTGACGACTGACTGGTTTCTACATAGAACCTTGCACAGAAGTGTAGCAGTTCAAGTTGCCATTCTCCCTCCATGTAGCACACATAGCAAGATAAGAGAATAAAGAGAGATTCAAAAGAGAGGCAAGAAGAATAGTAATATGGAAGAGCTATCGAATTTTATTGGATATAATAAGTCACAAGGAGCGAAAGCATCTGTGACAGCCATTGAGAACGATTTTGGGCCATATAACCAATTGTCTCCAGTCACTGGTTTCTACCAACCCAAGAACCCCAACCAGGAAGCCAGTCTACACCTCTCTACGTGGCTAGCTTAAACTAACTGTTATGGATTTTATTGACTGATGAGGCCATGTGTTGGATTGACCACCACCACAAGCTCTTTTCCAACCTGATCTTATGTCAGTCAGCTAACATTGCCAATCGAGGAAGGCGATGGTTAGGCATGTGTAATACATGTCTCAGACATCTCAATCGATGTAACTTACCAACCTGATCGATTGATTTTCCCTCCACACCTGGCACTCGATGCTTAATCTCAATATTACTCAACCTATTATGCCACCTAACACAGGAGATAGAAAGTAGGCACCTATGATCAAAGACAGCTAGTCTTTTCATGTCTTCCAATTTCAAACTTCGAGTTTCCATGATGAACTTTGCAAAGAAGTGCAGTCATAGTTGGAGCATCGATGTCGACATCTCATTCAGATAAGTGTAGGATATCGGGCAAGCTGAGAGTGGCTTTAGGGCAATTAAATTTCTCCTTAAAGTGTTTCTTGCAGAATCTCACTCTCTTCTATCTTAAGAGTGAATAACGGAGCTGTCTTTCTCGGAGATTGCTTCGCTTATTATTGTATTTTACTAATCATTTCTCTAGTGGACCTGAAATGTGTCTCCTGAACTTTTTTAATATTCCTTTGCTTGTCTAGTGGAAGGTAATGCTTCAAACCCTTGAAGTCTTAGTAATGCTGGTGTTGTTTATACCAGATGGGGTTACTAGTTCCACGTGCAACCTCCCGTCTTTCCCAGGACTACCTACCAGTTAGGCATGGTTTAAGAATCCACCGGCTAAGAATCGAATCCACAGTACTTGTGAACGCAACCCCCCGCCCATGCAATATTTCATATTAATCAATTAATTTTCACCTTTCAAAATGACATAAGGTATAAGACTTTAGAAAAGAAGAATGTAGAGACAAGTAAGGGAATTCACTTATAATACAAACGTACACCTCATAATCTACTTCTGATTTTGACTAAAAAATTACAAACATGGAAAGTTTTATTTAGTAAGAATAAAAAGATTTGGTATAACTGTGTGTGAACTAGGACATTCTTCAGCGAAAACAGTAGTATGTATAATACATCAATAGGGAAACAAACAAACGTTATACTAATTTGTGTGGATATGTGTTTGACTTTGATTCCAAAACCTAGATAGGAAAAGTTTCCACAATGGAATAACAAATCGAACTAATTTCCGATAGGTGAAATACACAAACAACTGTCTGCACTATCTGTCTAACTATGAATGTCTTTACAACATACAACTTTGCACAACTGTGAAACAGTTTAAGTTGCCAGATTTCATGGAAGTTACGTACTTACACACACACAAAGGTAGAGGAAAACAGAAATGCACAGAAATCACAGTAAATAGATATTAGAAGAAAGAATCACTACATAGAGAATAATAAATACTTAATTGATTGGAGAACATGTCTGAAGCATTGAGGATAATATTAAACCATGTCACCAACATTATTGAGGGCCCCAACCAGCCAGGCAGTTTACACTACCTTACGTGTCTCAAACCATCAATCAAAGGCTTCATGGACTGACATAAGGCTTTGATTTGACGATCCTTGACTCTTTTCCAACTTAATCCTATGTCAGATGATATGGGTCAACAAGTAAGAAGGTGGCTCAGTATGTGTAGTACGTCTCCTAACCATCTCAATCGATGCAGCTTCATATCATCGACTGACTATCCCTCCTTATTTATAGCACTCTACGCCGACCCTCAATACTACTTACCATATTGTACAACTTATTAACACTAGGGGCAAGACGCAAACACCTGTGATCAAAGACAACTAAACTATTCAGGTCTTTCATTCCCAATGACCACATCTCATAGCCATAAAGAGGGACAGAGAGAACTGTTTCACAGTAAACATGTCTTTTGATAGATAGCCAGATAACCCGTTTACTTCATAGATGACGTAACTTCGCAAATGATGCACGAGTCTTTTTGTATCAATGCTGGCATTTCGTCAGAAACCACTCAATTAGGGCTGATACAGTTTCTCAAATAAGTGAAGTCATCATCACGCTAAACCATTTCACTCTTCATTTTCAAACTACTAATCGGTGTGGATTAGTCGTGCAGTATCAGCCCACATTTAGCAGGGGTCAATGTCATACAAAGTTAACCCTGGACCATTGCAATATGGGGCTGTGACCTCACATTGAGTTGATATTAAACGGTTAGACAAACGGTCGTATATATGTGTATTGACATAATCGTAACAGAAATACGTAACAAAAAATACTTACCTAACATGATTGAATTAATTTTCCCCTTAATTTGAATAGTACATTCATTACATTTATAAATGCAGACAGTTTGTTTTGCTTCAGTTGCAACAATTTGTAGATTTTTTGCACCTTTAAAGTTTTCCTAGGAAGAGAAGAGAAGAAAAAGAGATAATTAAAAAAGTAACAATAATAAAGAAACAAATGGATTAATTGGATGAAATCTTTTACAACCAATAGACATTCGGATAATGTTGTCAGGCAATACATTCACTGGCTTATTGATTTATCAAATTAATTGTCAGATTCATATATATATATATATATATATATATATATATATATATTCAACACTGTTTTCACTAAATAATCACATAGATCAGTGTAAAATAAAGTACAAAACAGTATCGACTGAAATGAATTATCAGAAATATACCCGATTATAAACTATACTTATTGCATGAGGGTTGATTATCCTACCTAGTTGGCTCAAAATGAAGTAGGTGGAGGGGGATTAGAACGTGGGACACATTGACTGAGGGTCAAATGCTTGAACTGCCAAGTCACAACGCCATATAGATTGAGAGAAGTTAGAATTGTTGGACTATTGGATTCCGCGTCCAATCGGCTGAATGGTAAACGAGCTCGTCTCGTAACCTGAAGGTCTTGGGTTCGATATCCCTAGCGATGAGCTCATGGAAGCATATTGATGAAGAGTCCCAAACTAGGACGAAACATTTGCCCAGCACTCCCTGGTGGTTTTCTCTAAGCGATAGTAGTTACAGTTCATGATCAAGCTTGAAACCAATGAAATCCCTGTAAATCAACACTTGAGAAGACAACAATATGAAGCGAAACATAACTTGAAGTAATCGAAAGTAGATATGCAATGAGTAAAGCTACAGTCCATCAAATTAGAAACTGTATTCAGGGGTTCTCACTCCTCTATTTAGGTTTAGACAGCCTTCACAAAACAGGTTTGACTTCATTTTTAATTTAATGTAAACACAAGTGGATTGAGTTGAATGTTAACATAAACAATGGCAGGAAACTAGAACTAATGACTGAAGGCTGTTGCGAAGTTCATAACTCCATAGAAGATAATAGATAGGTTTCATCATGAACTAACAAAATCCATAGAACCATTGAAATATAAGAAGCACTGAATAGATGTTTTTGCCTACTTTGGGACTTTCCAACAATGGATATTCATGACGCTGAGATAAATGGAGTTGAAGAATGCATATGCAATTACTAGGATTCAGTTCAATGCCTCCTTACTTCAAACATTTGTCAACTAACAATACGGAAACGCCATACAATGTTATTGATGCACTAACTAACCGGTTTCTCATAAGAAGTTTATAAATTTGAGCTTTGAGCTAATCAGCAATTACTAGTGGATTGAAATTAAAATGGGTGTATTAGAGGAGATTTAAATGAACATGGTTACTTCATAATTACTTTTGTTTAAGTGAATTTTGTTTTTACTGTTGGCCTCTATTGACATGTCGACTACTAGTACGGACGCTTCAGTGAGGTCTGAGGATTAACATGATGTTATTCAGTGGATAGTGACTATTAGCTGTGGAATCAAGGATGTCCATTTCGCCCTATTTGAGACTTCTCATCTGGATGTACCTGCAATTCCCAGTGAGTATTGGTATTCCCACTGGTGAAACTGGAACCCAGTACCCATTCATTTCAAACTTCGAAACATTATCATTAGACTATTTGGGTTACGACAAACATCTCTTGTGCAACAGGAATAAGTTATTATACTCCTTTAAGTTAATTTTATTCTTTCCCTTGATTCCTTGGACGGAAATGTTAGGCTTTAATGGGGACGCTACTACTCACTGGGGACTGCAAGTGGATCAAGATGACGAGTCTCAAATACAACAAAGTACGCATCCTGGATTGCACCACTAGTTACCATACCCCAATAACATCGTGGTTAAGTTATAGCATAATTCCGACTTCGATTGCTCTCAGTCTAGTACGTACACAATACTTAAGAGCCCCACATTTATTACAAAAATGATAGATCATTAGTGTTATTTATGATTTCGAGGCTCTTTAGTTGATATCGCGTCACAGTAAAATTGACCTTGAAATTTATTTTTCTACGTACACAAAAAAGTAAAGCTACTGGAGTTAAGTCTGTAGTGATCATGAAACTAACTGCATGTCAATTATCAGATGGTACAAGATTACATAATCATAGGGTTCAAGATTATGAATATATTAGTAGTGTTATTTAATTTAAACTGTAACACGATTTATTATTAATCAATACCAATAACTAAGACTGTTGCAACAGACGAGGGTGAATAAGGATTCTCTGGGACAATCTCAAGTCGGCGAACTCTTTTACTCAGTATGGTAAGGCTTTATCTTTTGCTTGACGTATAGAACAGCATCATTTTGTGCTACTTCTTGCATGGGCTTAAGTTTGATGAGGTAAACATTCTTCCAACAGACAGGTACCTCTCCTTACCTTCACCCCTTCATACGCGTGTCCATTGAAGTCTCTGGGTCTGCTTTCAGGGATTCTGGGGGTGATTCCATTAGATTCTTCTGCTGTTCCCTCCCAGCTGGTTTTCAGTAAATTTATGACCTTCAAGACTTTTGTTTTTATCAAAGGATTAGTATTTACTGGCAGTTAAGTGTCTGATGGTGTTAATTCTGAACGACTTGAAGGTGATGATCAACTGAAGAGTCCTTTAAAGCAATCAGCTGAGTGTTTACTATATTTAATCTCATTGACGATTTGGGTTCCTTCACTACCTTGATCATTTCCTGAATAGTGGTGTCATAGTCCTTTATTGTGTTGTGAAGTCTTTTTGTGATGATTGACAATTTCTATCTCTGTATTGTTTAAAATACTTACTGTTGACTGTTGATATGTTTCTTATATGAATTGCATTCTAATTCCGCTAAATACAAATTACTGATTGCTGCCCTCTCTGAGTTTTGGTTGGATTCGTTTAATTCCGTCATCTCGAAATACTAATATTCCAATTACAATAAATTACTACAAATTGGCGTCGCGATGGAGCTAAGTAACCTGGGAAAATTCCCCATTAATGGGTCTCCGCGGGAGATTGCTGATTATTTGGAATGCTTTGATGCGTGGTGCATTTCCAAGAATGTTCGGGATGACAAAATACCTGCTCATTTCATCACTGCTATTGGGCTTGATGCATATAGCCTGGTGAAGAATCTGGCGTTTCCAGATAAACCCATTTCTCTGCCATATGCTAAGCTCCGTGAACTTCTTATAGATCACTTCCATGTAACTACTTTTGAGACCAGAGAGAGGGCTCAGTTCAACAAACTGGTACGTTCTCCCAACCAGAAGATTCGAGACTTCATTCTTCAACTTCAAATTCAAGCCTCAAAGTGTAATTTTGGAGATCAGCTGCATACTCAACTACGTGATCGTCTAATTGCTGGAATCAATATTCCTAAATTAGAGAAAGAGTTAATTCAGATTCCTTCTTGTACGTTTCAAACTGCTAAAGATGTATGTATTACATATGAAGATGTCCATAATGAATACTCTGCTCCCACTACGTCAGTATCTGATGTCATGCTGTCCAAAGTCGAAAATACAAGTGTTCATGGAAAGAAATCCAAACTGCCGTCCACAGGTAATAGAATGCAGCCAGAGATCAAAAACATTAAACCGTGTTTATCCTGTGGAAAGTTACATCTACGAAGCACTTGCCGTTTTCGGAGTGCTAAGTGCTATAAATGTGGTAAAGTTGGACACATCAAGACGGTTTGCAGAAGTTCGAATACTTATGTTGCTCAACATTCTTATAATTCTCCCAAGCTGTCTAGTAAAATGGAGTCTATGTGTCTTTCAACTTTTCAAAATACTCAAGCTAATCCAACGAAAACCTCCACTGCAAGTTCAGCAACGCAAGCATCAACTGTATTCAAAAATGAGGTAGCCAAGTTGCAATGTGAACTGTCGAAAGCACGAAAAGACCTGAATGAGATGAGAGAGCAACTGAATAAAATTGAGGAATTACTGCATATGCATAGACTACGTCTGGTGAATCCAGAGCATACAAGTTCTTGTGAAAGTCCTGCAAAACTATTCAAATCTCGAATTCTCAAAAAGCATCTGATGTCCACTACTTCTAATGTACATTATTACAAAGATAATAACTATAGACCTTCTGTTGGAATTATACTACAAAAAATGGGAAATCGAGTGGTGAAGATATTAGACATCAAAGATCACTCAGTTCATAACGGACACCTGGACAAAGTGACAATAAATGAAGTAGGTCGTTCCAATTATAATATTATTGATTCCGCTAATAATCCTGATTTTGTAGATAATTCAGAAATAGTCCAGATAATACTGATGAAAATAATATCACAGAATCAGTTAGGTCGAAGCTACTTGCAAGCAAACCGAGACATCGTTATAAATACGCGAGGAGATATTCGAGGTGTGGCGGATGTGGTGATTGACAATTTCTATCTCTGTATTGTTTAAATACTTACTGTTGACTGTTGATATGTTTCTTATATGAATTGCATTCTAATTCCGCTAAATACAAATTACTGATTGCTGCCCTCTCTGGGTTTTGATTAGATTCCTATAATTCCGTCATCCCGGTATATTAATATTTCCAAGTACAATAAATTACTACACTTTTTTTATCCTCAGTTGCTAGTGCGCAGTTGTAAAAGTGCCTTCTGTCTTCCCTAGCACTATTCTTCACTCCTTTCCTCAGTGAACTATGGGTTGTACCTAGCTTCTCCTTTTGTTGTTCACCTTCCACATCATCATCCTTCACTTCTCTACTGTACCGCATCGACAATACTGTGTGAAACAAGCCCACGGCAATTTTCACTTGTATTATTATTATTACCTTAGCTCTTATAATTATTATTATTATTTCCATTATATATGCTGCATGTTTTTGACATTACCTCTATTGTAAATGTGGAAAATTTTCTGCGTGATTAAGTTTTATTTATAATTTGAGGAAATTGGATGCAATATTGCGATTAATGCTGAAAATTTCATTCTGTGTCAGAAGTACTATTTTTGGAATAAAGTAAATTATTATTATTATTATTATTACTGTATGATAGCCAACAACACATTGAAAGCCA